TGTTTTTGATTTTACTCCCCATTTCACTAGCATTTTCTTGCAAAACACTGCCACTTATGGGAACGTTTTCTTGTCCTTTTTGAGTAAACCACTTAATAAGTCCCTTGTCAACCTTTTCATGTGCAGATAATTTTAACTTGCTACATCTAACATTTGTTTTGTCATACGCTGATAAAATGTTTTCTCTGTTTTTCCATATTGTTGCAACAGTAGACTTTCCAAGTGCTAATACCTTACAAATGTCACTCTGCTTTACTCCACTTTTTATTTTGTTAAAAATCTCGTACTTTTCATTTAGTGAAAAAGCTTTGCGGTTTTGTTTTTCCATTCTAAACCGATTTACATACATAACGCGGCAAAAAACAAGTCACTGCCTGTCTCTCGCTCTCACTAATATAAACAACTCCGCACGATTGGTGTTGCTGAGCGTGGAAGTTCGTTATAAACGGAAAGTGAATATGCAACTAACCTAAAAAGTGATCGCTATATCCGGAAGTTCGTTATAACCAGTAAAAAAATACGTTGGTCTTTCTTTATGGACGACGTTTCAGTTAAAGGAAAAAAGTTCGTTTTAACCGAAAGTTCACTATAACCGGGTTCATTATAAGCGGACTTTACTGTATGTCTGGTATTTTAAGGTAAAAAAAAATACGGAATTCCACCCGTCACAAACGGCACCAAAAGCCAATTTTTTCAGTAAAAAAATATTTTTTGTGTGAACTGCCCCGCATGAATAGAGAGAGAGCTATAGGAGTCTATTTCTCGGAAAATTAAGCGGCAACGTTGGTAAATTCTCTGACACGTAATACGATAAGAATGCTGACGTTCAAAGTTCCGGACCGAAAGCCACATAACCTATGTATGAGATAACTGTTCTCGGATAAATATTTTGGTTAAATATTTGGTGACGATGGAAGACAACGACAAATTCAGAAAGCCGCACTATCCCCGAAGAAACGGCCCTTTCAGGCCACCTCCAGGGGTTCAAAAAGCCATTCAGAATTTTGGAGTGAAAGATCTTAGGGAAATACTTGATAAGAAGCAGCAGGGAAAGTTCGAAGATGATAAGGTATCCATCCATCTGATCATTTGGGGCACATCCGTATTTTACTAATTACTTATCTAACAATCACCAGCTGGAAACACCTTCAGGAATCTATTCAGAGGGTTTCCTGTATAGACCATTTACTCATTGTTAAATGGTTATTCTAAAATGTCTCCACCGTATTTTATATTTTTTATTAATGATTCGCCTGAGAAATGTATCGTTTTTAGGATACTAAACACGTCAGGTATAGTGCGCCCCAAGTAATACAACAATTTAGAAAATTTGCATTTAGGTCATGACTCACTTGCAGAGAGAAATGAGCTAATCAATTTAAAAAAATAAAAATTATAAGAACATACACATACATACACACAATAAATGTACTTAATAATTCTACTAAAAAAACTCATTGGATGTTGACAAAAGTTGTTAGACATCTTGCAACACGAAAGTGCACGTTTATTAAACAATATTCTAATAATAAATGTGTAGTCTCAAATGTCTCCACCGAATTTTTAATTTTTATTAATAATTCGTCTCGGATATTTATCGTTTTTTCATACGTTAGAAACTTTAGGTAAGTATTCCCATACACAAAATCTGGAGGACTAAAATCTGTACTGCGGGCTGGCCATGGTGTTTCATTTCCTCGGCCAATCCGATAATTCAGAAAATTTGCATTTAAGTCATCACTAATTTGCAGTGAGGAGCTGGGGCTTCAAAGAGTAAAACATTTCTGCTCTTTTGCTGCAATTTGTATGAACTTTTGTTTCACATTTGTAATTTATCAAATATTATTTATCTTCATTGAACGGAAGTTTGGCCAAGAAGCAAAATCAGAAGTTCTAACTTTTGTTGTTAATATCGTTGTTTTTTGTTTTTTCATTCCCAAAGTTGGAAAATATTTATGGTCTCGTGTCAGTATGCTGGCTGTAAGTTTGAAAGGTTGGGATACATTTTCATTAGCAATTTTAATATAGATTTCCATACAATTCGTAACCACCCAACATATTTTTTAATGCACGCTTTCAGGGCATTTTCGGCATTTTTAGTTGCCCCCGTTGTTCTCTTTGCATGTCGTTTTACTTTGTCTTATAAGTAACTTTTACTACTGTCTTATAAGTAATACTAAGAAAATTAACGGTGGATTTCTGGGGTCAAAATAATACGGTTTAGCACCGTTTACCTTAGAAGAAGAATATTTTTTAATGGTCTTTATCAAATAACTCATGAACAAGTGGAATTTGTTTACTAAAATAAAAAAAAAAGTATTCAGGAGTTTTTGAGGGTGACAAATCTGCGAATCAACTCTATTTTAAACTCATAAACCTGCGGCAAATTATTCGTCGTCAAGTCGCCCCAACTTTTATTAAATAAATTTAAAAAATTGAAATGCAATACACATTTAAATACATAAAATTAATAATTACATGAAAAAAATTGATTCGATTTTTACAAAAGTTGTTTGTAATGACGCCCATTAAATAGACGTTTTTCGTTTAAATAAACTTGTAACGCAAAATCACACGTTTATTCTTGATTCTGATGTTAAATGTTGATTCTGAAATGTCCCCTAATAGCGTTTTTTCATACAGTAAAAACTTTAGGTATTTCCATAGACGCTAATCTGGAGGATTAAAATCTGTAATTCATGCTGGCCATAGTGTTTGACTTTTGCATTTAAGTCATTACTCACAAGTAGTGAGAAAACAGAAATTAGCTGGAGCTTCATTCTGCATGAATATGGTTGCTCACGTTGTTCCTAATGGAACTTTTTTCTAAAGAGTACTTCAATCTTCAAGAAACTTCTATTGTTTTGCTGCAATTTGAACGAATTTTTGTTTCACATTTTCCACTAAGCAAATATTTAGTTAAGTAACTTTTTTTAGCTGCGGTAAAAGGAAGTTTGACCAGAAAGAAAAATCAAAAGTTCTAACTTTTGTTGCTAATTTAGTTATTATTTTTTTGTTATACTGAAATATGATGGCTGTAAGTTAGTAAAGTTTCGGACAAATTCACACAGATTTCCATACAATTCGTAGACACACCAACATATTTTTTAATGTGTGTTGATTGCTTGCTGCTGATGCTGAAGATTGTTTCTCAATGTTCAAGCTGTTGTTGGATTTGTACCCAATTCTAAGAAAAATCAGAAGTCAACAGGTCGGGTTAAACCGTCGGCCAGTCGGTCAGCCGCCAATATTTCAATTTTGCAATGTTTTTATCCGGCGGAAAGTAACGCGGTCTCTTCAGTTTTGGTCCGAATTCTTCCCATTGACTAATTATCCCTATATTTACGAATTAAATAAATTATTATCACAATTTTTCTGAATTTTCTTTAGGACATTAGAATGAAACAGTACAATTTGTTGATTTCTTTATATGTTGTCATAAGTTGTATATTTATTTTGCTTTACGTAACTAAACTAATTTATTAATAACTTTACAAAAACAGCAGGGAAGGATAATTAACAAAAATTTCCATTATTTTGAGCATATTTCTAAATTATTGGAATAGTTTGTCTATTTAATTGTAATTTTGTGTTAAATGTAATTATCATTCTGTAATATTTTCAGTTGCGTTTTTTGTATATTCTCAAATGCAAATTTACAACTAAATAGACAAAATAATTTAGGAATTCGCAGAAAATAATAGAAACTGTTCTTAATTATTGTTCTTTTTCGTTTTCTATCTGCTTTATGTAAGGTTATTTCGGAAACCATTAAGTAAAATGATAAAAAATATGAAGTGAAGAATTATACTTTTGTGTGAACCATTCTCTTAATTATATGTATTTTTTTGTATAGTTGCAGCTTCTAGATATACACGGGTATATCGAAAGCCTCTAAAAACGAGTAACTAATTAGTACGTGTTTATTTGGCATATTATTTTTTCTTGTTTGTAGTGTGGGTTCCTGTTGCCATTCTGCTCTAACATTGTTTAATAAGCCTTTGGCACCAGAGGACTATTTAAAAAATGTTGTTCATTTTGCTTTACTTCAAGTTTTTAAATAAAATGATGTATACTTTTTCACCCGGTTAGAAAGACGACAAAAAGGATGAATAAAACTGCAAAAACCTCATATTAATACATTTGTTATAACCAAATGTCCAAGAATAATAACTTTAAATTTATAAAACAGGCAATATAATTGCGAAAAGTACCGATTGTTTAATTAAAATMATTATAAGATTGATAGGAATAAAAAAGACATTAACATAATTTAAAGTATTTTCAGAATATGATAAATATTTATGGATGTGGATTTTTATGTTTAATTAATTTTTTGTCCGCTTTCTCACCAGGCAGAAACTTATATTTATATAGACTAAAAATGTTGTGTAGTAAAAATTGAAGCAAAATATCTTATATGTTCAATTTGGTTAAGCCATCCATCCGTAGATATCAGAACTTTTTTGGCCTTTAATTGAGTACATTTTTTCGAGAATGGAATGAACATCTGCAACGATACTATAGTTGTCATGTCAATGGACAAAATCCGCAATCAGTATTTGAATTGTTACAGTTTTGCCTTCCAACAGTTATTTCCTCAACTTATAATTTAAGCAAATGTTCTTGATTTTTTTCTGTTTAAGTATGTCCCTTTATTCCGTTTATTTATTTGGTGACTCTGCCGGTATATCAACATTTCATAACTAATTGCATTTTGAAATAAAAAACCAATCTTTTGATACCACCCCACTGGACTAAATGGTTTTCGAATAATTCTAGAAACCAGAACCTAAAGAAAATCGTCCTCCTCCAGACCCACCATACAACTATCTTAAAGACCCCACCAGAGATTCATCCGTTCAGCCGGAGGATAAACATCACTTACCTCAAAGGGGCAATCAGCGCCCAAGAAACGAAGACTCATCGAGAAAAGGACAACCCAGAAATCGAGACCAACAAACTATCAGTGAAAGGCATTCGTCTGCACCCCATGCCACCGAGGACAGACAGGGGAGGGCTTCAAAAAAAGAGTTGCGTTTTATGGATCCTGTTGATGACAATTCTCAGGATATGCGAGGTGAAAAGTCTGACGATTTGCGTGGGGAAAAGCCTCAGGATGTGCATGGTGAAAAGCCCAACTTTAGAGGCCGGAGTCATAGAAGAGGGCATAACCCGCGACATACTGAGCCCAGAGAAGAGAGACTCGAGAACCTTGTAAATATCAAGGTGGAATTGAGCACGGAAACTGGACACCGAAATTGTGTACTAGATGAGAGCACAAAAATTCCAGGTAAGACTACAAGTAAAAATTCCTCAAAATCCATTAATATAATTAAACATTGATTTGCAGACCTGAAGTACATCCCAGATCAGCATAGGAAACCACGTGGAAGGGGTTCCTATAGGGGCAGAGGCCGAGGTAGGGGTAGTTTTAGAGGCAGAAAGGAAATGTCGAATCGAAGTAGCTCGGAAGAGCCAAAACAAAGCGAAGCAGAAAGTCCAGCGAATGCTTCAGCAGCGCATAGTCCTGAAATTGCCACTGATGAAAATCCGGAAAATGCTGAACCTGAAGAATTTGTTGATAGCAATGAAAATTATGACGACAGTGGATACGTTGAAACAAACTTCAGCCATCAAGAAGAAAATGAACAACCTAAAACTGCGTTTGACGCCAGTTTAGTGGAAGCAATCACCATAACTTCTCAAAAGCTTCAGGATGGAGGTGCACAACGAGCCGTCGAAGGCACAGCCACAAAGGAGAGTGAAACGAATGAAAATCTTGATTAAGTGCCGACCAACTGATTGTGTACAGTTTTACTGTGTTATTTGGATTCTTATCCTTTACCTTCGCTGTTTTCTCTGGAATGTTTTTATACTAGTCTATTGTGAGTTGCATTATTTTTGTTGTACTGCTTTTCTTGTGATATTTTCCAATTCGTACCTTTTCCTCTTTTAATTCATAGAGTTTTAGGAAAAATGCGTTTATTTTTATATTTTTATGTGCGACAATATCATATTCTGTTATACTGGCTTATTTTCTTTGCTAACTGGTGCTTTTTACCCTTTGGCATCCTTTTGGCCCAATGGTGACAAAATGCAGACAATGAATGACATTGTTGCAATATATAAATGTTTTGTCTATGTGCAGCTTTTTTTAAAAAGTGATATTTTTATGCTAAGTTGTCATATTTATGCTTCGTATGTATTATGTAAAAGTAACATCAAAGAAAATATAATTGAAATATTTACTACACAACATTTGTATTTTAAATTCACCTGACCATTCGTTTTTCCTTTAAAGTGAATGTCGCCCACCATTTTGTTTAGAGACTTGAAATAAGCTTGTATTTCAATATTTTTGTGGTAAAATTGAAGAACTTAAAGGAAAAGTAACCGAAAAAGCAATGAAACTAATATCACAAGATGCTAGGAAAGTCGAAAAACAAGTGTTGAATATCATTGATGCTGACTCACAAGAGATTGTCGAGCCCTATGAAGACGATGGATCAGAGAACGTAGCTTCTTGCATGGAATACAACTTTTCTCCCATTCAAGACAGCCAGAAAAGTGAGTTAGCAGCAATATTTGTTTGCAAAATATGCACATAAGATTTATCTCGTTTTAGCTATTAGGTTTAGTATCCTGTTTCTTAAATAACTTTTTTATTCGCCTTTGCATAAATTTCTGGAAAGAAGAAAGAAATTGCTGGAAAGCAAATTTTCCCAACAAGAGGATTTTTAGATAGAATTGGAGAAGACATTTAAGCCCAATATCAACATAGAGAAAATTAACTTGAATCATCTCGGTATTCACACAATAAATAGGAAAATGTGTTCCAAAATTTGTGAGATAAAATACCAAGAGAGTATGCTAACGCCAAGCACACTAAAACTTATGAAAGAAAAGAAAACAATATCCAGAGATGCAGCAGAATACCAGGAGCTTAAAGCCCCAGCAAATACCCCTCGGTCCCTGAAATGTCCCACGGAAGTCATTAGAGGATATAGGCCTAAGTCCCTCGGACGTCCCGGTACGTCACTATATGTACGGGGGACGTCCATGGGACATACTATTGGGTCTGTACAAGCCATGCATGGGATGATCCTGTAAAGGTCATTTAGGACATCACTGGGATTATAAATGGGTTGTTTAGAGAACATCTGTGAAACGTTCTTAGGTTAATAGTCAACCGTCAAATTATTGATAGGAACAAATATGTATAAAGTAAAAAAAAACCTTCTAAATACGTTGAAGGCAGCTTTATAATTTGGAAAATTTAGGATGGAAGCAATTTAAAAGAAACAAAATACTGTACCAATAACATATACCCATACCTATTTCAAAACAAACAAAAAACGTTTATGTATGGTATCAAACTAAATTTATTTTTGCTATGCTCTTCTATCTGAAACCGGTAAAGTAATTTTTGTCCTTTTCAGTCCTTCGCGCGCGTTCCTCAGCCAATTTTGAGCTTCAAATTCAGTGTCTTTTCCCGTTGGTATAAATAGCGAATTTTTTAGCCAACCATCTGTAATAAAAAAAGATATATTTTATCATTTATAAATCCAAATGAAGGTTCTTCAGCAACTTCTACTTCAGGCCTCGCCACCGATGTTAGAACTTAGACCCTCATTAGAATGCTGGCCTCATTAGAACATTATAAACTACATATTTAATAATTAACTTGTTATTTCATTTATGTAACAGTTGTGGGACTTTTTCAACGACTAAAGTAGATGTTAAATTACTATTTTGCAAAATAGGAAATGTTTTTCGGTATTTTCAATTTCAATATTGCTTGATGAATATTTATATTTAGAATTTTTTCTTTTAGTGTAACCATAGAAGCTTAAATTTGCTAAAATAATTTTTTTTAAATATATTTTCTTGTCCTAGATGGGTCTTATTTTTTAATTCCTAATCGCAGTAAAGTGTCTAATTATTGCATGTAAAACCATTAACCATTATAGATGTTGAATGTAGGCCTGTGTTACGCTTTTGAGTCGTTTCCGCTCTCTGAGTTAATGGGTAATAACTGATCTGTTAATGAGTTATAACTCGGTCCGAGATACGAGACCGGAATTTTAACATATCTATAAAAAAGATCAGTTATATAACTAACGTTTTACCACTTAGTCCGAAAAAAAAGTTACTCCTTTTTTGTTAGTCAGGTTTTCCCAGCAACAAAACTGAGTTACTGCGTCAGTGCGTTGAGTTGACGCACCCAGCCAATTGCGCAGCACTTCGCCAGCTCCTAAAAATTCACTGAGTTACTCAGGCCTAGTTGAATGAATAGAACTTGAATGCTATAAAATATAACAATTACTGGTTTCGGTACTGAAATTCAATTTTAATTTTATTATTGTTTTTATTGGAGAATTTTCAATTTTTTACTGGAAAATTTTCAATCTTCATCCGATAAGCAGAACAAAAAAAAATCATCAGTTATTTGAATTCTGTTTCAACTCTGCTGATAATTTTGTTATTGTTTATATGTTGACGTTAGTCTCTAAGTTTTAGGAATTGTGTATGTTTTTGTTTTAATTCATTTCGCTTTTATCTCTCCTCTCGTTTTTGTGTTTGAATCGTTTCTTTTTAAATGCAACTCGAGCAATTATGTTAATTATGTTACGCATGTAAAAAGTATAATTTGAACTGAAAGATTACCAAAGAAAGTTTGCGCATTTAACAGTTCCATGTTTATTATCGCCTTAATACTTCAGAGTGCAGCGATTGATGAATTTGCCATTAATCGTTAGTATAGACATATGACTTTAAGTTAATCAGTAAATAAAAATTAAAACTAAAGTTTCCAGACTTTTCTGGTCTTCTCATTATAATGTTAATTGGAAAAGTTATGTTATGTTAACAATTATTAATGTATATATTATTCGTCTTTTATTGACTCCTTTGTAAATCTCTTGTATTTGTGGAAATCATGTTTGTTATTAACTCAGTACTAAAGCATAATAATAGTTTGCTAGTCTTTGACCTATTAACTTGAAAAATGTTGATCCTTAAGCAATCTAAAGATCAAACTGTGCAGTTGAAATAAACCGATTTAGATTCATAACATTTATGCGATTTAATCGTTAAAGTTAAGTGGCTACTAATACACTAAACTAATAAATTTTACGAACATTATTAACACCTCCCGAAAAACATTATGATGACGGTCAGTTTAGTATAATCTTCATTGCCCAATAGAGTTAAATGCACGCACACGAATTGATACTCTTTTAAATTTTTTTTGGTGAGTTTTCCCTTAAATTTGTTACATATGCGCGGTGTGGCACGGGACTTTCATTCATAGAATTTTCCGAATTTCAGTCAAAAGCTCGACTTTCCTCGGCAACGGCGAATGTACGAACTCATGCGGCTTTTTGGTCGGTTTCACGCGCTGTTTCCCGCCGGTCATTACGAATCATCGTCAATATAAGGTAGGAATTTATAATAACATTAATTTATATAATTTATTTGATCGTTAAAATCATTCACACAGTATAATGATTCAAAATACTAAAGAGAAGCAAGTTTTAAAAGTTTTCACATCCATACTATAAATAATGATGTAATTTATTTATGTAAAATTTAATAAAAAGTTTTGCATGTAAAATAGCAAGAAATTTAAAATATCATCACTTAAATTACTTTGAAGCTGTTCCTCATGTAATCGCTTTAGAAAGGTTTGCTTAATAAATACAAAGTCATTTTGGGATTTTTATAAATAACTGTTCGTTCATCCGAACAAAATTTACTTAACCGTTAAAATTTGGTTGTTCGACTGACATTATTCATTTGGTCCATTTTTTAATCTTTCAAATTTTTTGTTAGATGCTCACAATTTTGAAGGTAAATTGGATTTTTTAAACGATTATTACAAAACTTAAGCACTTAAAAACGCCAGACGAGGACACGTGTATTTTATTCAAATTGAGAAAGACAAATATCACCCATCATTCTTGCAAACGTTAACATTTTTCTCATGATTTATCTTTTTAATCAAATCGACGTTTCTCAATATCTGTATATATATTGGCTTTCAGCACAGAGCTTCCTTTGACATATTATGCGCTGGAATAATTTATCAGCGAAAAATTATAAATCAAAATTATAATTTAAAACATATCTACTTTATAAAGCAACGAATGTAAATCATATATCAGGAGAATGTCAAATAGCTTGAACCTACACCCTCTGAAATTAATTGCTAGTGGCTTTAAATACACCTACATTTAACAGGAAATAAATTAGTTCGTAAATGCTGATCGGTTAACGTGGCAGGAGGATTAATTTACGGTTTGAGCCTCAATTGACAATGTTTTGGTTCCATATTTATCTCCCTGAAATGAATAAGCAGGGAGATATTTTAAGTTTATATTGACACAGTGCCTCTTCCTTGTTTCCACATTCGAGTAAATAAACAAAGGGCGTTGAAATTCTGGATATTTGCGATACAATAATGTAAATTTGTGCACTAGTTAAATTTATATTTAAGTAAATGTATTAAATTTTCCGATAATTGTACCAATTTTTATGAGTTGATTATTTGTAAAAGGTTTTAATTGGAAATTTTCCACTTTTATTGGGTTWTTAAACAGGAAAATATTATTTATATGCAGAGTTCACCTTAATGGATTTCTGTGGCGTTTCCCAAAGYGGAAAGCGGACAGGGAAAACTTCTATTTTAATAGGCACGAACATCGGATATAAAAGCTTCCCTAACCAAGGCTCCCTTGGGTTGCCGTATAAATAAATACACAGATGTTTAACAATTTAATAATGTTTAAGAACCACTTGATTGGACATATATTGGGAGCCTTTCAATAAAGCACAATATTAAAAAAAAACACTCTTATATCCCGCGTTTTCAGAATATAATCGTAGTGGCACATTCACTTCAGACGACTTTAGATGATAGACTTATTAAAACCTGTAGATTTTTTACATATTTTTATTCCAAAATTGTGTGCTGAACAACAAAATTTAGGATTCACTGATGTTTATATCATACGCTAACATTCAGCGCCGCATGTGGCGAATTTAATATATGTTTCAATATGTTTCTTATGAAGTGTGTCGTGTGTAAAGATTTATTATATTTGTATATTAAAATGAAACTGGAAACTATTTTTCTGAGTTTTACAAAAAAAGTTTTAGAAAAAGTTGCCGAGTTAGATTAAAACTATTTAAGTATTCTTGTTAAATATACATTGCACCGCGAACTTACGTCATTTTTACATATTCGGTAACTTTTGTAATTTCTTTTCCATTTGAATTGTTTTTTTTATAGAATCATAGCTTTAATCATGAACAAAATTTAGGATATAAGTAATGCAAAAAATGAACTAAACATATTGAACTGGGTGTTTAAACACTGCCATGTTTTCTTGGTCAAAGTTTAAATATTTCTGCGTCCAATAAGGGGTATCCCTGAAAGGAAAAGATGTCCTATGAAAAAGAGCCATTAAACTGGTAACATTTTCCCCGAAAAAATTACTGAAACTTGATGGTTTTATTTATTTTGCCCAGTGCTAAGTCAATTAAGATGTTGAAGTTTCTGTTTTCCTACGGATAAACTAGTTTTGTGTTCACGCCGAAGAATATTCCTTTTTGTTTTGTTTCTTTATCCGTACGCAACAAAATCAACAGAGCTTCACAGCCCTAATTTGGTAATAACATTTTGTTTGGCCAGCCTAAGAAATAAAATAAAATTTAAATAACTTCCGTTCGGGAAATGTGACCGGTCATAAATAATTAATATCTATGGAATGGCTCGCGGTAAAAAGATAATTAAACATCGCAATTACTCAGAAGACATGAGGTTCCGTATCATCCCATACGCTTTTTCCCTCACGGCTATCCCATATTGCCCGTAGAAAGGTTTAAATTATGACCAAGAAAACATGACAGTATTTAAGCATTCTGGATATTCTGTTTCTAATATATTATGTTTCTCTGTATATAATTTCCCTGCTTGTCTTTTAACTTAAGTTTTGTCCAGCAATAGAGCTATGATTCGATGAAAAAATTATTTAAGTTGCATCGCTCTTTGGGGAAATATTTACTGCCAAAATTTACGGAATATTTAAAATAGG